GCCTGGGAGGCAGGATGCGAGCTCCACCCGCACAGCCGGCAGCTCCCGCTCCCGGTTGCAGGCTGAGCTGGGCTGCGCTCCCCCGGCTCCCTTCTCGGGTTTCCCCAGCCTTGCGAGTGTTCTCCTGGACACTCGGCCCCTAAATACTCTCGGGAGGTGATTGCTCAGGGGCGGGGCCTCGGCTCCCATTGGCTCCTGTCGGAGGGGGCGGAGCAGTCGCGACCCCGGCGAGCCGGCCGGCGCTGGTCGGCAGGTTCTCCGTGAAACAGTAGCTGGGACGCCTGGGGAGCAGCCTGTAAGCCGCTGTTTGCTTTAAAGGGTTCAGTGTGTATTAGGGGGCAGGTGGACTTGCACTACCTGCTGGTGGCACCCCTGAGCCCCTTACACTGGGATCCTCCCACCCAGGACGGAGAAAGCCACGTCAGTGCTCCTGGCTGACCCCTGCTTCCAGCTCCGCTCCATTCGCTATCTTCTGGGGCACCCAGAGCCCCCCGGCCCTGGCACTGCCCCGCCTGCCCCTGACCGGAAGCGCTTTTCCCTACAGAGCTGTGAGTTGGCAGGGTGGGTCAGGGAAGAGGGATTTGGGGCTGAGCCAGGAATCTCATTGGCTCGGGCTGGGGTACTCGAGGCCCTGGGTTCTAGGGCCACAGTCGGCCTGACACTTCTTACCACCCCAGACACAGACTACATCAGCAGCGAGGAGCTGGCCCAGGTGGAGCAGATGCTGGCACACCTGACCTCCGCGTCTGCCCAGGCTGCAGCTTCCTCCCTGGTGAGCGGGGCACCCACAGGGCCACGCCCATCGCCTGAGGGCAGGGCAGCACTTACAGGCCTGGCTATGGCCGCCTTCCCGGACGGCCCACCCTAGCCCACCTTGCACTGTGCTCCCTGCAGCCCACCAGCGAGGAGGACCTTTGCCCCATCTGCTATGCGCACCCCATCTCTGCGGTGTTCCAGCCCTGTGGCCACAAGTCCTGCAAGTAAGTGGGCCCCCCTGGGTGCAGGAGGCGGGGCTGGGCCAGGGAGCAGCAGGGACCTCAGGCCCCCTCACCCTCTCATTGCAGAGCCTGCATCAACCAGCACCTGATGAACAACAAGGACTGCTTCTTCTGCAAAGCCACCATCGAGTCGGTGGAGGACTGGAGGGCAGGCGGGGCGAGCAACACCTCCTCGGCTGCCTAGGTCTGCGGTCTACACAGCAGGAGCCTCTGCCGGAGCCCAGACCCAGGCTGGGCCCTATTTATGAGCTCCCCT